ATGAGCATACCAGGAAGATCTCCTCACAGTCTGCTCCACAATCTGAACAACCTTCCTTGGCTGACTCCTCAGGAGCTCAAGCTGGAAGAGAACATGCCTCGGACCTTCGGAGAACGATGACTTGACCTTGGTGTTGAACCAATTTGGCAAGTAGACACTCACGATGAATTGGATAATAAGTCTCAGGTTGTGAAGCTGGTTCCCTTTCAGTTTATGATGAGCGTCCCAAATTCTGCAGAACCTGAGAGCCGTTGCTTGGAGCCACAGGAATGAGGACTGGTTCTATCTGCAGGTGGCAGAACTCTATCAGAGCATGACCCCAGTTTTGATGGCACTGCAAATCATGTAACCATAGTACTGGTCACTATAAGGTCGTCAATGACCAGTAATATTTTAGAAGCTCAACAGTGGAGGCCAACTTCTTGATTTTTCCAAAGCTCAGTTTATTTTCTAACTCAGTGGCAGAGTCAGCATCTTGCCAAGGACAGACCATCTGTTGTTTGAAAGGTGCACCATCGCTCCTGGATCAGATGTCTGGTGGCAACTCGTTGGTGTGGAGGTCTGAACAATCAGACCAACTTCCTCCCAATCTTCCTCTATCACTGTGGCCCCCGCCCGCACCACCTGTGTTCGTGTTGGTGCTGTCCCCTCCAATGGCCTGCAGGGTCTGGTCTACGTTCCTCTCTCTGAGCCAGTTCACAATGTTATCTGCCACTATCTCAGCTGGTTTCCTGATGTCATCTTTCTCTGGAGTGAAATGCCACAAATACTTCCCTCCTGGTTCACTGCAGCAGGAGTAGTGTTCCTCCTTCACCATGGCAGGGAACAACTTGTCAGAATCTCCAACTTTCATGAACACTTTAGTGTCATCCCTTCTCCCATCAAAGAACAAACAATTGATTCCATTTTCTCTTATCCCCTTATCAAACTCCTCTTCTAGGTTACTGACAAGTTTCTCCTGAGCTCTCCTTACTTTGTTATGATCTATCACCAGGTGAACATCATCAGGTGTTATCAAACCACCGTCAATCTAGGCAGCTGTTGCTATCTCTGCAGTTTCTCTGAGACCAGTGTGGTGTCGCATGCTGGCCAGAGCTATGCTCGGGATATCTTTCTATTTCGATCTTATGCCTGGAAGGTTTTGGGATCATTATTTTCTGGGTTGGGACAAAGTCACCATTCTCCTGGTCAGCACTCGGATCAGCCATGGGGAAGTCAATAAACTCTGAATCAGCTTGACTCCAATCATCGGCCTTTTTTACCTCACCCTGGGCCTTCTCAAGTCTCTTTTCCTCGGCAACTCTTCTCCTCTTCTGTCTCTCTGTGGCAGCCTCCTGTCTCTTGGACTCCGGAATATCTTGGCTAGAAATCATGAGAGCCCCTATACTGCCAGTCTTCTCTCTCTGTGCTTTAACAAATGCCAGTTCGATCACAGGAATCTTCAGTTCACACTTGCAAATACAGGAGATGTGGGCCTCGGATTTACAGTCACGATCGCATCCAAACTCAGGACAGAGAACAATTGGGCACTTGCAAGTAATTATGTCAAATAACTGGTCCAGTTGCTTGGCAAAGCTGTCCTTAACTGCAAGTTTTCCTCTCCCAAGAGAGATATCTCTTGCCTTTTCCCAACTGGCTAGCAGTCTCTCACTAATCTTCTTCTGACTTGTTATGACTGGAGGCTTGAACTGAGCGTTAGCCAGAGTGTACTGTGCCAAGACAGCTTTGGTCATATCACTGGCAATGTCTTTGTTTGTGTAAGTTCTTTGGTTCTTTTCACTGATTTGCCTGATTAAAACACCGTATCTCAAAGCATCTCTCAATGTAGGCAACTCCGACTTCAGGAGCTCTCTCCCAGACCCAAGATAGTGACTGAGATGGCTGGATTTTTGGTTCCTCGTCTGACACAAGCAGCCATCGCAAATATTATCAACTTATAAATGCATCAGAATCTGAAACAGAAAAAATATTGTTAGTTGGGTTGTTAAAGAATGAAGTCAGAAAGCAATGTTCACTATTTAATTGTAATGCACTAATGCAGCTGTACGTTAGATTTTCGATAAATTTCACGCTAAAATTTACCTAGCAAAAGGTTGCAAAATATTGAAACTGAAATTATTTTCTGTTTATATACACTAAAATCTACCAAAAAAGTGATGGGCCATTAGTTTTAGCTGATCTTCCCTCCTATGACACACCCTAATATATATAAATACGAGGTCTGTGTCCAAAAAGAAACCGAACTTTTTAAAAAACAAATTTATTGCTTTACTTACAACTTAATCAGACTTGTCTCCTTCAAAGTACTCCCCTCCACTGTTGATACACCGCTCCCAACGTTTTTTTCCAGTTCTGGAACGTGTCCTAGAACGCGTTTTGAGGGATGGTGTGCAGGTCTCGTAGCGAATTTTCTTCTGTCCCTTCTATAGTTTGAAATCGGCGACCGTTCAGGGTGGATTTCAACTTTTGGAAAAAAAAGTCCGCAGGGGACAAATCCGGAGAGTAGGGTGGCTGGGGAACGATAGTCGTCTCGTGCTTCGCCAAAAAGTCATGGATAAGGAGCGACGCGTGAGCAGGTGCATTTTCATGGGGCAGCATCCAGGTCTTGTTTGTCCACGCCTCAGGCCTCTTCCTTCGCACTGCCTCCCTCAAACGCTTCAGGACCTCCAAGTAAAACTATTTATTGACTGTCTGACCACGTAGAACAAACTCATGATGAACGACGCCCTTCCAATCAAAAAAGACTATCAACATCATCTCCACATTTGAGTGACTCTGACGTCCAGATTTGGGATCGTCATCGGTGGATGTTCTTCCCCTTTTGAAATGCTGGTACCACACATGACATTGCGTACGGCTCAACCAATCCTCCCCATAAGCCTATTGCAACATTTGAAAAGTCTCCTCAAAAGTTTTTCCCAATTTGAAACAGAATTTCTCGCAAACACGTTGCTCTTCAAGATCCTTTATTGTTCAACTTGCAACAAATCGCCAAGTGCACTAAACACACGTTCACTCTAGCACGTGTAGCTCGATGACTAATTGACTTGGCGTGATGCGGCTAGTGTTAGACTATAGGTCAAGGTCACTGCTACACATTACTCCCATCGTGAGCACACTGCGCCGGCTCGTTGGCGCGTTATTTGAAAAGTTCTGTTTCTCTTTGGACAGACCTCGTGTGTGTGTATATATATATATATATATATATATATATATATATATATATATATATATATATATATATATATATATATATATATATATATATATATATATATATATATATATATATATATATACTTCATTTTTAGTCCATATAACACGCGGACTTTAAACATATACTCAACGACCTCACCAGCCAGGACTCGAACCCTCGACCTACTGCATGGGACCAGGGAACGTTACAGACCATGCCACAAGGACACTAAAAGTAGTTCTAGACTATGTTATATTTCACACAAAGCCTGTTCATCGAGCTGATGGCTCCGTGAACCTCCCATTGGGAACTGCCCGTGCCGCTTATGGGGATGTCAGTAGCATTTTACCGAATCCAGCTGGTATGAAACACGAGGTACCATATATACTTCATTTTTAGTCCATATAACACGCGGATTCGGTAAAATGCTACTGTATATATAAAATATCACTTTTTCCTTGCCACATCTACTATTTTTTACCCAAGAACCTTTGTATCAGCAGCTAGTGGGTTAGTCCTCCCCCTCGGTAGAATACTAGTCCACCCAAGGGTTGTTCCACAAATGGCTGACTCACCCGACAGTGTACTCATATATTACCGAGTGCACAAAGGCTGGTGTACACGCCGGAAACTCAGTCCTCTACTATGACCGGGAAACGAAAGTGTCACCATTTACTTGCCGGATGAACAGTCAAAATTCATGAAATGTTCTTTTTTTACAAAATATTTACCATTGTAGTAAAATTAAAAGTTGTCATTTCATGTTGATTATAAGTGTGATTTACACGTGCCTACAGTGAAAGTGGATCCCATGTGCCCTGTGCTTGATGGCCAGTTAAGGGCTTTGTGAATACAACACACCGAAGACTACTCCTCGAAAGACAAGGAAACAGTGAGAACAATGAGGCCTTTCACTTCCTAGATACAAAGACATGTAACCATTCTCCAGTGGGTCGACTGAAGGGTCAAAGGTTTATTGAAGATAGACTTAAAGTTGCGCATATGGAACATAAATATAAAACAATTTCTCAAGTTACTTAAACTACCTGGTGGGTGTGTCAAAGTTAGGTTATATTTAAGCTGAGGTTAAATAAAGCTGACATGGGTTAACAAATGGTTTGATAAAGTTATCTTTGAGTTACAGTAACTTAAGATTAAAAAATTGTGATTTATATCACAGTTTGAAGCACTCCTTCACCCTACCCACACACCTTCGTCTTGGTTATACACTGGACTGAGGGTGTTGGCTTATGGAGTTAATTAATAGGGATCAATACAGTAATTACCTGTGTCGTAAGGTGTGTTGCCTTGCGCCACTCACCCACTCCTGTTGTGCTAGTGGCAGGTCTCTACCACAAGACGTGCTAGTGGCGCACGCACACACACACACACACACACACACACACACACACACACACACACACACACACACACCATATTTTTGAGAATATAAAGAGAGCACATGCCAAAAAAAAGATTATCAAAAGGTCTGAAGTTGATTTCTTTTTGAAAATTTGAAACTGACATTGATAATGAATTCAAGAGAGTCGAAATTGAAATGGTTAAGTCATGTAGTGAAGAGTGGAGAGGAAGATTCAGTGAGGAGAGCAATGGAAGGAATGAGAAGTAGAAGATGATGAACACTAATTCAAGAGATATGGTTGAGAGAGATATGACCGATATGGGAGTAACGAGAGAGGAACACAGGTCTAATAGCAGCAGAAGTGAAAACAAAATCCTGAGTGACGGATCACATAATATTGGATACAAATAAGACAGTGAAGAGGAAGAAAAGTTAACGTACCTTATAGTGGCAGTAGAGGGCGAGTCTGAAACAAACCAACAACAGATTTATAAGACAATATTCTAGCATAACATTTTCCTATTGAAATAGATCTTAAGGGAATATTTACATGTATCTAAAAGTCTGTGTTATTGATACTGTTTGGACGGAGTTTGCCAGTTAACCGGCGGAGGACGATGCAGTTATAACTTTGTAAGATTTAGTGCGTGTATGTCACTCCTCAAGTAACAAACTCATATTGAACACGTAGATATCAATGCCTCTTATAAAGTTTGATGATTTATGAAATTATTTTATTCAAGTCAAATATCGCTGACTTTTCCTTATGGACAAAGATAGTTAAGAAGCCCGTGTACTCCGTATACTGTTTTGTTTGTCATAAATTGAGAAACTTTGTCAATGTTCACTCACTCACTCACTCACTCACTCACTCATTCATTCACTCAAGGATCGTCTCTCACCTTGGAGAAGATGAGAATTATAATGTTTTTCACGATTTTTTGCATTTCACTTTATATTATTAATAAGTTCTATTCGGCCAGCAGCCATTTTGACTCGTGTTTATCTTCTATCATACTAGACCAATAGTTCCTTATAGTGAACATTCTCCAAGCTCTGCTGTCTACCGCCTAGTCTATTATTGATCAATGGTAATGATTTTCCCTGGGCGAGGCGCACGGTGGGTGGGATTACCTGGGAGAGGCCAGGGACTAGCCTTTGAGAGATTCTTCCCTCTATGGTTTCCTCCTAACTGACAGTGAAGTAAAACATTACAGATCCTTTAGAGGCTTAATGCAATATCATAATCTCTTTAATGTTTTGACTGAGCATGGAGTAATGTTCAGGAGGAGTTTTTGTGTCTAGCCTGTTAGATGTAGTGACGTTATAAAGTACTACATTTATTTTTACTGCTACTCAATATTCTGCTTCCCTCGAGGTGGCAGAAGTGGTCCTTCCTTACCATTAGTTCAAATACCACCACAAGAAGGGCCATTCCTTCGACCTACCATTAGCTCAACTATTACTATAAGAAAAACCATTGCCATTACCTCTACCCACCATTAGCTCTCCTATTACCATAAGAAAGACCATTCCCAATCCCTTGGCCTACCAATAGCCCAGTTACTACTATAAGAAGGACCATTCCCAATTTCTCGACCTATCAATCGCCCAATTACTACCATAAGAAGGACCATTACAAACTCCCACCTACCATTAGCTCAGTTGCTTCCATAAGAAAGATCATTACAAACCCCCACCTACCATTAGCTCAGCTACTACCATAAGAAGGACCATTGCCAAGCGAAGCAATAACTTTCTGGGATTTGTTCAGCCCACCCTGGCGGCCAATATCACCTATATATACATCCTACCACAGTGCTACGCTGGCACCCTAGCTTACTGCTCTCTCTCTCTCTCTCTCTCTCTCTCTCTCTCTCTTGCTCACTTTCCGTTCCTTCTAGATTCTCTCGCTTTCTGTCTTTCCTTTCTCGTAGCTCTCTTACCTTCCCTTCTAATCTTACACTATATCGTTCTTTATCTTGCTTCTCTCTCCTTCCTTACCTTGTCGCCTCTCTCTCTCTCTCTCTCTCTCTTTCCTTCCCTTGTCGCCTCTCTCCCTCTCTTTATTTTTTCCTTTCCTTATCGCCTCTCTCTATTCCTCTCTTTCCTCCCCTTCTTCCCCTCTCTCTCTCTCTCTCTCTCTCTCTCTCTCTCTCTCTCTCTCTCTCTCTCTCTCTCTCTCTCTCTCTCTCTCTCTCTCTCTCTCTCTCTCTCTTTCTCTATTTCTTTTCCCCTTCCACCATTTATTTCTTCCCCTCAATCCAATTTTCTTCTCAGGGCTCAAGTTTGAGGAAAATGTTATAAGTGACGCTTTCCCCCTACCCTCCAATATTTATGGATACACACAGGGAAATATTGGAGGTCTCAGTATCCCTATATGTGTATGAACCAGTGGCTTAAGGGGTCATTTTGGGGGGCCGAAAAGTAGCATGATACTGTTCTGTGCGTGTGTGTGTTTCTGTGCGTGTATGTACGCACACACAATGCGGTGGAATGCGTCTAGTGTGGCAGGCACTGCTTGCTTCCTCTCGCTTTCAGCTACCGCCGCTGGCTCGTCCTCGTGGTGAACAGGGAAGCAGCCTTGAGTAAGTTTTCCCCTGCCAGTGCATAGCCTTTTCACTATCAAGACTCCTGCTGTGCCTCCTCATGGCAACACACGGTAACAGGGAGCCTTGCAGCCCCAGACTAGACCAGCAGGGGGATCTCACATCAGCAGTGGGCCCAGCGGGAAGGCGGATAGACCCACCGGCATGTGGAAACGCCCTGGCGCCTACCAACCACTGCCTCGCTGCCTTGCGGATTAACGTTGGTAGGTATAAGGCTACATGAGTAAAACCCGAACGAAAAATCTGCGGTGGACCCCGCATCAGGCAGACAGGCCTAGAGAGCTCCAGTAAGACCCCAACAGCCGAATAGGAGGAAGAGATGACCAACAAGGGAACCCAACGACTACACCGGCGGATGAAGGCAATGCAAGATGGACAGGCTACTAAGGCGAAACCCAAAATACTGGGCTATCGGCAGTCCATTGCAACTCTCCCTCTTCCCAGTTGTTGCAGCTACCTGCACCAGTGGATCAGGAAAAGGGAGAGCTAGATGTGTGGCTGCAGCCTGCACTCCTGCCTCACCACATAAATCAACTCACGTGCAGCCACCATTCGGCTTATCATACTCCTCATCATCATCAAACCCTTCTACCCCAAAAGTACATTCACCTCAAGGCCGAAGTGTGCATACTCATCTCCGTAGGTGTTCAGGATCTCCTGTAGGTCGCGTTCAGTGTGAGCGACAAGGGTGAGGTCGTCTGCATACTGAAGTTCAGTAATGGAAGCTGCCAACACCTTTGTTCCTGCCTGAAGTCGTCTTATGTTGAAAAAACCCATCATCCGGTACCTAAAGTCCACCCCACCGGCTAAATTGGCACCGGCACGAGTAAGGAAGGCAGCCAAGAAAATGGAAAAGAGAGTTGGTGCCAGTACATATCCTTGTTTTACCTCCATTTGGATTGGGAAGAACTCAGACTGGATGCCGTTCATGCCATCATGGAGTTGCCTCACAATGGTCAGCCAGAGGGCTTACTTGTTGACCGAGTCGAAGGCCTTGGTTAGGTAAATGAAAGCCATGTACAGGTCACGACACTGTTCTCTGCACTTTCCCTGTATCTGGCGGGCAGCAAAGATTATATCACTCTTCAGGAAGAAGTCTGTTTAGGAGGACTCAAGCGATAATCTTGCCAACTACATACAGCAGCGAGATCCCGCGGTAGTTGCCACAGTCTGACCGATCTCCCTTGTTCTTATAAATATTCACAATGGAGGCGTCTTTAAGAGCTTAGGGGATTTACTCCTGTTTCCATATATTCTCCAGGAGAGAGTGGAGACGGCTGGTAAGCAGAGGTCCTCCTGCTTTATACTCCCTCGGCTGGGATTCCATCAGGCCCTGAGGCTTTGTTATTTTTCATGTTTGGTGGCAGTAGCTTCCTCATCCAGGAATGGAGGATACCTGAGATGGGTCATCTCTGGATGCTGAGGGACCTGCTGGGTAGTCAGGACATCCACATCGGTGTTTCGGTTGAGCAGCAATTGGTAGTGCTCTTTCCAGTGCTCTTTGTGCTGGGCCGCAGCTTTCTTCTTGCGGAAGGTATTACTTTTGGTCTGAGGGTCGTTCAGCCAGCCAGTTAAAGCAGCACGTTTATCATCGATGAGTACAGTGATTTCTGGATCTTATTAATCAAACCAGTCCTGGTGTATTCTTTCGATCAGCAGGTTTTTGTCACGATGGTGTCGAGAATCCCCGTTTCGGCACTGGGATTTGGGTTGTTTGTTGTCGGGTTGTTTATCAGCCCATGTTTGAGCTGCTCTCTGAAAGTATGTGCTTCCGCTGGATCCTCCAGACGCTTAGTGTTAAAACCTCTTCTGGATGCTTGTTGCCTTCGCCGTTTTGGGGCGACCTAAAGTGAGAACTTGGCTCTGATGAGCCGATGATCAGTGTCGCAGTGGTCTGAGCCACGCATGGCTCGGGTGATGAGGACATCTCGGCGATCTCTTTCTCTGACAATAATGTAGTCAATGAGATGCCAGTGTTTGGATCGTGGGTGTTGCTACGAACCTTTGAACTTGTCGGCCTGCCTAAACAAGGTATTGGTGATAGTGAGGTTGTGTGCAGCACACTTGCTGAGGAGTAGGCCGTTGGGATTGCACGTGCCTAGTCCATTTCTTCCTATGATTCCCTGCCTAATGTCAGTATCTCTGCCAACTCTGGCCTTGAAGTCACCTAGGAGCACAACTTTATCTTCTCTGGGGTTAGAGGTTAGCACTCTGTCAAGATCGGCGTAAAAGGCCTCCTTGTTGTCATCCTCTGCATTCAGTGTTGGGGCGTATGCACTGATGAAAAAGGTATGACGTCAGTGATTCAGTGGGACTCGGAGCGTCATGAGGCGCTCGTTGATCCTATCAGGTAGTTCAGTTAGCCTGTGTAGGGGGCGTTGGCGGATGGCAAAGGCAACTCCACACACACACACACACACAGCATGGTGTTGGAACCTCTAGGATGATCACTTAAAATTTTCATATATTCAACAAATACTCAACTACTGACCACGAAGGAGTGGTCGAATCATGAACCAGGAGGCCGCGAATGGCGCTGGTCACGCAGGCAATTAATTATGCGACGGAGACCACCCACAGGTCAGACAAATTCAATCTCTCTCTCTCTCTCTCTCTCTCTCTCTCTCTCTCTCTCTCTCTCTCTCTCTCTTTTAATTTTTCCACGATACCGATATCCCTTCACCCAATCTCTCTCTTTCTGTCTATCTGTCTGTCTCTCTTTTTCTCTCCTCTTCTCTCTTTTTCTCTCTCCCTCTCTCTTTCCTGCCCAACATCGTGACAATTTACATCTGTCAGCGCAAGTCGTGCATAGGAGACCAATATCGGAACTCATCAATTTCATTCCCTATCACTCCCC